GTGATATTTTGTCCCGGTTATTTTCTTTGTAAACTATGAAACTATGCTTGACGTGTTCAGGGTCAAGCAAAACACTACCATTGGCCAGTACTTTCTGCTTGGAGTGACACCGTAGCTTGCATTACAACTACTATATCACCATTCACAACATCCGTCTTTCATTGTGTTATAAAATGTGAACATGTCTGATTTGATTTGTGCTGAGGATTCACTATCAACTTGTTTATTTGGAGACAGTATCTCCCTACATAGTCCAGGCTTGCCTTGATTTCACTGTGTAGCACAGGCTGACCTTGAATTTACAGGATCCTCCTGCCTCAGCCTTTCAAGTGCTAGGATTACAGGTCTGCACCACCATACCTGTTTCATTATCAATCTTATCATCATGGGCTAATGCTGACAGTCTCAACACTACTTTGTTTTCTTCACCATTCTGGTCAACTGGTGTGCTTTTAGCAATGTAACATCAATGGGTAACCGGAGAACCAATTGTAGAATGTGACATTTGGATTACTTTTTGAAATAGGTGCGACAAATCTGTCCACAGCATCGTATTACAGCATGAATGAATATTTTTTTTTCTTTCTCGGCAGGTCTTACTGTTATCAAAACATAGACAATTTTGAAGGAAACAAAATCTCTTGTTTGTCATTAATGTTTTAAAAATCTCAATGCCACATCTGTCATTTCTCCATAATCCTTTAGACTCTGTTAAAGTCTGTGTGAAGGCTTTTAGTTCAGGTAGTGGGATGTCATGATAAATACGTTTCAGTATTACTATTGATGCATATGGAATGTTTTACTTGCTATTTCATTATTTGTGTATTTCCAAACATCTTGTTGTAACATTTAATCCATCAGGAAAACTTTCCAACATTGAATGGCAGTGGTGGCATTCAACCCAAAAGGCTTCCCCCGTGACAAGAACCAAATACCGTTTTTTGACCCAGTTCTAATGATGGATCATTCCAGCATACATGACCATTTTACAGCATTTTGACTAAATATTTAATTACATTATCATTTTCTTCCTCATCTGAATCAAGATTTTCATTCTCTATCTGTCCTGTCTTGCTGACTTTGACTTACATGAGCCAAGTCATCATCAGTAACCAAGGCACCTAATGATTTCCTTTCAGCCTCCTCCCAAAGTTATAAAAGTGGATTTTCATGTGACATTTTACTTAATTGGGCTACTTCTACAAGAAAAAAATCAAAGGGAAACATTTGATAAAAATATTGTGAACACACAAAAATTTAACATGGCTCATCATGTGGGTAAATCTCCCCATTGACACTTTGACACACGTGTATACACTTTTCCATTCATCATACCAAGTGGGAAACCACAAAGATTGCTTCTTTTATTCCCCCATCATAGCTACCAAGTCACACAGCTGGTTACCATTATGGCTAAGTACATACTTTAATGGGAAAACATCAGTATTTGTGTCTGTGATCCCAAGTGAGGAACTGATTCATTAAACTATGGTTCAAAAGAACTCTAGAAAATATCAAAAAAGCAACAAACTTTCTAACCACTACCAAGAAACTACAGTATACTCATAGTAACTAAAATTGGTGTCTTAATAAGGAAATTATAGCTATTTCTATATCTGAGTGAAATTTCATGATTAGACACCATGGATTCTCTCAAATTTACTATCAGAAATGTATAGTTCTTTTAACAGGAAAAGCATTTCCTCTATAATTACAAATTTGGCATATGCCTACCAGTACGATGTTTCCATGATGATAACCACTTAGTTAAGTAGAAAGGAAGACCTACAAATATATGTGGGTTAAGAATGAGGTCCAAGACAGGATACAGTGACAATTGAAAAAACTTAACAGAAGATGAATAAAACACTTTAATCTTAATACAAAAGCTATTTTTATATGCCCGCTCCCTGAACAGGTCATGGCCCTGAGACAGACGTTTATAATAGAGGGATGAAATACTGAATGAAAAAAAAATTAGAATGACTCCTAAAGATTGGTGTTTATTTTTTAATACTACAAATTATTATGGTAAGAAAAATTTTCTTAAAAAATAAATAAATACCAGCAATTCAGATTGAAATCATTCACAGCAGCCAAACTAAGAGATAAACTAAGAAGTGGACTGAACCAAGGAGTTGGATTAGCTTACATAATAACTTTGTTCCTTTTCTCCTGTTAAGGATTTTAAAATAATCCTTGATAATTGACATAATACTTCAGTCAGCTGTTGTCAATAAATAAAGCACGCATGAAAGAAGTCCCTGGCTTTTGTTTTGAAAGCTACAGATTAATTCTGGCATTGACTGTAAACCTGCCTCCGGGTTTTTTCACTAGCCAGATCTTAGGATGGAATATGCATAATCTCTTGAAAGACATTCTCATTAGTATTCCTACAAAAACTCACCTAACTTTGGGCTATCGCTCTACAGGAGAAGGGGGTAGACAAGGAAGAAAAAGGAGAAAAGAGAAAGCAAGAATTTCAAAGAACTAGTCAGTGCCCTGGGACATAAATTTCTTTGTACATGGTAAAGTAAGAGACTAAACTCCACTGCTGTGCTGTTGAGAGAGTATCATAAGGAAATCTATCACCTAAAATATTATTGCCAATTTTTGCTTTCTGTTTTTAAATATAACTACAGGACAAGATATTGAGTTGCCAGGATTTATCCCTTGGTATTCATATTAAGAAATAATGAAAAAGAAAAGGAATTCTAAAATCTGTGCTTCCCATGATGAAAACATACTCTATGCCATAGTTCCCAAAATTCCACCTCTTATGAAGTGTGGTAGTCAAGAAGATTCTCTTAGACTCTTCTACATATTCTTCAATCCACATTTTCGCTATAAATATTTTTAAATGGTTTAGTATTTAAAGATGATGCGTTGTACATTAACTAATGAGACTGAAAGTATAGCAATGCTATGAGAATTTCTCTAAATCTGAAGGGAGGGGAAAGGAGGACAGTTATGACCAGCCATTATCCCCCAAATGCTTTGTGCCTTGCAAACAGTACAAGAGAAGAGGTACAGACACTTATACTGAAGTTGTTTGCTCTAGATGTAAATATCATATTACTTTCCTGATTAGAATTTAATTGATTAGGCGTGAAGATATCAGCAACTAACTTCCACTTTAATTAGGTAAGTACTAAGCAGTTTAATAATTTTTATAGTGACAAGCTGTTGTCTTCACTCATCCATGAACAAAAATCGTATTACAGTGGTTAACCTACTTCAGTGGGAGGGGTGAGGATCATTTAAATATTCTACATGGAGGGAAAAAAATAGCTAAGTATAGAACAATAATCTGCTAATGGGCCACGTTTAAATTGTAAAATAAAAACTGTAAATAAACATTGACTGTACGCTTATTATCTGCTAGACAATGGGGATTTAAATATAGAGAAAAGCCACTAGCCTCGTATTTCATTGTGACGGCCAGGGCCATTTGAACATATAATATCAATGAAGTGAGGAAAATATTAATGTAAACATATACAAAGCACCATGATAACCCAGACAAACCATTTACTGGAACATTCTCTGATTTGTTTGCTTTAAAAGATGGGAATTTCCCTGACAATTTTTCCTGGGGAAACAGTATTTCTAACACTGGCAAATTACATACCAAAAAAATCCCAAAATAGTATAATATGCTGATACAATAGCAAGTTGAAAGACATCATCTATAACAAATTTGAGCAAATTTATTGAACCCAGAATACCCCAGAGTAAGCATTCTGGTCACTGGCTTTAGGAATTCTTTACATATGTTTCCTCTTTCCTAATTATGTCCAAATTCCTTGGGTGATACTAGCTCTTTCACATTGTATGGCATGTGGGTACCATGTTTTTGTTTTTGTTTTGTTGTCTTTTTCCTTTTTTTTTTTATCGGTACCAGGGATCGAACTCACGACTGCCTACTTGCAAGGTAGGCGCTTATGCCGCTGAGCTAAATCCCCAGCCCCTTGGGTGCAACGTTAACTTAGGGTTCTCATTCCTCGCTAAGAACAGGCAAATTCTCCATGTCACTGAAACAGAAGATGAGGCACACATTACTTCTGATTGCCTAACCGGACTGCCTTTCTGAGATGCTGACACTTGATAGAGAACAACAGAAAAAAGATGTTGAAGGTTAATTTATCTCAAAAAAAATCAAGACTAGTATATTCCTGAGACTTCTATGTCCCAGTACCCTTCCAGAGTTTGTCACCATGTAGGGCGTCAGGTGACCAAGAAACTATAGCCATTTACTAAAGTAGAGCAAATAAAACTCTCTCTGAGAGAAATAATACACCTTCCCTGCCACCAAAAGAGTCTACTCCACTCGCCAATATAGGCATCTGGAAAGCACAGAAAAAGAAACACCTCCATGGAAAATGCTCAGCAATGAAGGACGGGAGCCCAAGTCTCCTTTCCTGCAGTGGGATAGTTAAGGATTCACTCTGTTTCCTATTCTGAAGTCTTAGCAGAAAGAAGCCACAAATGCTTACATCAACAGCCACATTAAAACAGCCTCCTACTTCTTATTCTTCCTCTTCTGGTTCACTCCAAACATTACCTCACTCTTGTTTTTGGGGAGCACCTCCCAAACAAATGACCCTACCACCGACTCTGCTGTGCAGGAAGCCTACACAAGACACAATTATGGTCTATTGACAACACCACCATCAGCAGTGGGTGTTAACATTCCCCAGTGAACAGGCTAATGGAGGGAAGTTAATTTGTCCATCCACTTAGTGGAATAGTTGAGGACTGAACTCCTAAATTTCTCATTCTAAAATCCAATTATGATGTTAAACCACCCCAAACTATCAGATAGATGGCAATAAAAGATTAACTAGGAGGGGAGGAGCAAAATGGCAGATAGATAACAATTGGCTACAGAGGCTCCCTGAGATAGTGAACTTAGAATTGAACATAATACAGAGTGGGGAGCCCCAAACAGAGGGAGATGAATTCTCTTATCCAAGAAGAAATTAAGCAGATTTGCCAACCATCCGAGGTCCTACCGCTGTACCACTGTGGTTTGCCGAGGTCCCACCGTGACTTGCCGAGCTGTCTGATGTCCTACTGCTTCTCGACATTGAATTCAGGGGCTGGCAAGCCAAAGGGAGAGCTGAGTTGGCAGGGTGCCTACATCGACCTGTGGTGAGTGACAGGAGTGGAGCCATTCCATAAATAGGGGGGCTCCAGCTGAGATATTCTGGGACTGGGCAGGACTGGCAAGTACAAGGGGCAGCAGTGACTTCAGTCAGTTGCTCCCTTCCCAAACAGGATTGGTGGAGTGAGCTAGGCCTGGGTCACATGACCTGGCTGAGACCCAGTAGGTTATCTGAAATCAAGTCCCTAAGAGTGGTGACGCACACTAACCACAATAACACAGTGAAACCTCAGAAGCTGACTGACAGTGCAGGTCACAGCAGCTTTACCGATTCCCGTGCCTCCGCACTCCAGCAGCCGCCTGCAGCACCTCTGGGCCACCATCGAGACCTGTCGCCAAGGGCCTGGGAGTGACTGGGCACCCACCAGCTGCTCCCACCACAGCTGCTGACCCAGAAGGGAGTCCACTGCCGGCTGCTGCCACCGCAACTACCACGGCTGCCACACTCCAGCTGCTGCCACTCAGAGGGGAGGTGACTCAAAGTAATACAGTGCAGGCCACAGCAGCTTGACTGATCTGGAGGGGAGGGGCCAGCATACACTGTCCCTGTCTGCAACTCACTAGCACACTGCAGTGGGAAGGGTCATCTGGCCAGCATGCTTCAGAAGAATTGTAACCAACAAAGAAAGAAACTGGGGCCTCCTGGAAGAAGCAAAAAAGATGGGAAGAGGAAGCAACAACAAAAAGTACCCAGGTCCCAACCCTGAGAATACTAACCCAGGACAGGTAAATATAAAGGAGAATGAGAACAGCAAACATGCAGTATCAGATATAGTGCCAGTGGACATAAAGAGATATATTTGGGACCTCATAGACAAGTTCAAAAGTAAAATATTTAGCCAATTAAAGCAAAAGATAAGAAAATTAATTAAAGAGATACTAAGCACCCCTAAGCAGACACAGATGGAAGAAGGGAGGAACTCAAACAAAAGAGAGAACCATTTGATGAAGAATATAAAAAAATATATATATAGAATCCATGAAGCAGATTCAAAGAGATTACCAAGAAATTAAAAACTCTATGGAAAGATGGCAGTTCAGCTTGAAAGAAGCTAAGGATAGATTATCCAAACTGGAGGACAATTTTGCGGTGTGGGAGTATGAAAGGGAAAACTTTTAAAAAATAACAAGGAAACAAGCAATAACAATTCAAAGGCTAAGAAGATGACAAAAGGATCTATAACTTGAGAATCAAGAATGTGAATGAAGAAGCTGGGGTACAAACAAAGGAACTACAAAGTTTATTCACAGAAATAACTAAGGAAAACTTCCCAAACACAGAAAAAGGAAATGATATTCCGATATATGAGTCATACGAAACTCCAGCCACCTACAACCAAAACAGAGCTACATCCAGGCATATAAAAATCAAGATCCCAGAAATTCAATATAAAAACAGAATCTTGAAAGCTGTTATAGACAAGAGACAGACAACCTACAGAGAAAGGCCCATCAGAATAATGGCAGACTTCTCAACACAAACCAACAAGTCAAGAAGAGCCTGGAGTGAAATATTCCAAGCTCTGAAAGAAAATAACTTCCAGCCCAGATTGATATACCCTGCTAAACTGTCTCTAGAAATTAATGGAGAAACAAGATGCTTCCAAGACAAAGAGGAACTTGGGAAATTTGCAACCACTAATCCAAGTCTACAGAGAATACTGCAGGGCATTCTAGAGAGAGAGAAAAGTACTAGGATTCCAGGAACAGTGGCAGAGAGGCCTCAGTGGAGCAGAAAACAGAATGAAGAAGATAAGCAGACAACTGATGGCAAACAAGAGCATAACAGAAATGAGGCAGAGAAGATTTTATTCAAAACTTATATGATTGATAGCATCAAGTCTGAGAGTATAGGCAAATATACTGAAGATGACAAGGCTCTGTGATACACATTCTGATTTGATTTGATAACTGCCTGTTTTTGAAGTTCTATACTACATACAAAGTTGTGTTTTATTAATACTGTTATGTACTGATAAAATCAATTATACTATGATGATATAACCAATTCTATTGGAGATAACAAGAGACAACACAGGAACCATGGTAGAACTCTTTGTACAACAGTCTTATATGTTTATTTCATTTCATGTGCTTATAGGAATATGTTTTGTTTTGCCATGCTTTGTTTTGTTTCTCCCTGTAATATAGAAAGGATAGAAATACATGTTAAGAGTCATGCATTTGTAGAATCTGTAAACAGTTTATGAGAACAGATCTTATGACACATGATGAAATGAACAGATACTTTGAAGAAAAAGACACTAAAATACCCAGTGCTGATCCTGGAGTGTCATAATGTGAAACCCAGCAATAGTATTATTCTTTGTTCAGAGTGATATTAGCCTGCTTGGGTTTATTCAATATCAACGTAATTGAAGATATAGATAACTGCATGTATGTTTAAGTGTATAGGATTGATAACCATATTTCTAAGTTTTTGTTGGATGGTTGAACAGAACTGGTTGCAATCTCACTGTTTGAATTTCCACTTTATATGCTCCACTTTAGTATCTTGAATAACTATTTATAAGAAGACAATCTGTAATCATCAACTAGTGATTTCTTACTGTTTATTTTTTCTTTGAAATTATGTATTATTTCTACATGTTTTCTGTTTTGTTTAGTCTTTTTTTAAATTAAATTTTAAAAAAAGACACTACAGTACCTAGTGCTGATTACAGTGTCATGATGTGAAATCCAGCAATGCTATTATTCTTTGTTCAGAATGTTTTTAACCTGCTTTAGTTTGTTTAATCTAAACATAAATGAAGATATGGATAACTGTATGTATGTTTAAGTGTATAGGATTGACAACCATGTTACTAAGTTTTTGCTGGACAGTTGAACAGAACTGTTTGCAGTCTCGCTGTTTGAATTCCCACTTTACATATTTCACTCTTGTACCTTGAACAACTATTTGTAAAACAACAATAAGTAAACATCAACTTGTGATTTCTTACTGTTTATTTTTTTCTCTGAATGTATGTATTATTTCTACCTATTTTCTGTTTTGCTTAGTCTTTCTTTAAATAACATTTTTTTAAAAAGATTAACTAATACATTAGTGTAAGTAATTGTAAAGTACACAAATTATGTTTTGCTTATTACTCATATATGTCTCTTTTGGTGATGCTACAGGAAAAAAACTATGTTCATTAGATGAGATGAGAGGACAAAAGCCATGATTACACAAAATTAAGAAGGTAGTTTATTCAGATGCTCAGTCTTTTTTCTCTTCCAATTAAAATATGCTTTCAAATTTGCTAAGGAAGACATCCTTGTACTGCAAACTAAATCTTTTCTGTATTGCATATTACAGTAGACAGTTGTTTTTGTCTTTTGATGTTCCATCTTGTTTTAGTAATGCACACAAATTCTCCTTGCAAAGCCCTTTCTTATTTCCCACCCATGTGATTTAAGTGGATTTGTCTCTACTATGAGATCCAGCAGTGGGCATAGGTTCCAAGCCTGGCCAGGGGAAAACCGAGACTGATTTCAATGTGTTAGTTTCCTTTTTGGTTTTGTTTTCTTTTAGAAATATCAGTAAAAACTGAAACATCCTCCATGCCCGGCCACCATGAGGGGCAAGTCTAACTGCAAAAATAGTCAAACACGAAGAAAAAGAGAATGAAGATGGTGGTAAATTTTCTGAATTCTGGAATAAAATAAACATCCTCATACTTTTTTCCTTGATGTCAGTTTAATTGGATTTGTGGGTTTATATCGCTTATTACTATTATTTTATTCTCTGTAACTTTTTATACAAAATCTCAGACCGGTAAGTGATTTTAAAGATGCCATGTAAGCAAAAAGTAAGAGACTTACCTCCAGTAATGAGAAGCTTAAAATCTCCAAAAACAAAATATCTTTAAGATACTTAAGATTTTAAAAAATTCTTAGTGAAATCTATATTCCAACCAAGAAATGGCAAATAATAAGTAATATAAATAATAAACCAGTTAATTATAGAGTATGTTAAATATTAAGTTCTTTGGAAATAAGGAGATGCTAGTCCAAATAAGAAGGGCTTAGAGAGAATCACACAAGTTAACTTATTATCACACTGACAAAAGTCAGCAGTCTCATCACTGAGGCACAACACCCAACACAGACAAATTAAAGGAGCAGAGATTTAATTTGCTTACCATTTCGGAATTTTGTAGTTCCTGATCGGCTGGTTCCAACATCATGCAGGAAGAACATAGTGCAGCAAATATGCTTACCATAATTAATGGTGGCCAAGAGGAAAAGAGAACCAGAGAGGAAGGGGATAGGGCTACAAACCCCCAAGGCCATGCCTCTGGGCCCATCCGTACACACCCAAGAAGTATGCTCCACCAATCCCGCAACTGGATCCCAGTTTCAATCAAAGAAAAATGTTGTCCTAACCAATGAAGTCTGTGTGATTTAAAGACAGACTCAAAAGAGGATAAATAACTAGCCAAGAAGACATCTGGGAATTGAGTATTTCAGGCAGAAGGAATATCTAGAGCAAAGGACTAACTTGAGTGTACACTTAGCAGTTCTAGGAATTGGCAAAGGACTCTAGTGGCTGAAGGTGACTGAATCAAAGAGTGTAGTAGATGAGGTCTGAGAGCCTAAGTATATGTTATATATAAACTAAGTTACATATTTGTTATACTGCTGTGTAACACATTATCTCACACTTCGCAGCTTTAAATAATAGTAAACAGTTATTATTGCACAAATTTCAGAATTTGATAGTGACCTAGTGATGGATCTGACTCTGGGTCTCCCAGGAAGTTGCAGCTACAATGCTGGGTGGGAGTGTAAACATCTGAAAGACTGGCGGGGCGGAACAATTGTTTATTCTCAGTGCTCCTGGCCCAGGGCCTCAGTTCCTAGCCATATGGACATCTCATTGGGTTGCTTGAGTGTCCTCAGGGAATGCACCTGCTTTGCTACAAACCATTGCTCCATGAGAAAGAGGCCAAAGCTATAATACAGTCCATAATCTAGCCT